AGTACTCTATTAAAGAAATTAAACTCACAATTAAAAACTACCCAACAAAGAAAACTCTTAACACAGAATTCACATTCTGCACAACAGTTAAAAAAGATGCAATGTCAAAGCTATTACAAAATCTAGCAGAAAACAAAAGGAAGGAATGTTTCCCAACCCTCATTTATGAAGCCAGTATTACCTTGGATTAAACAGTCTTAGAAGAAAACTATAGGAGGCCATTATCCCTCATGAACATAGTCACAGAAACACTTGACAAAAAATAAGCAAATTGAATCCTTAGCATGCAAAGTTGGTTCAACACTCAAAGGATGAAACAAACTGAAAAAGAAAAACTAGTCATGTTAACAGATATAGAGAAAGAATACCTGACAAAATTTAACATTCATTGCCAATATAAACTGTCAACATGACTAGAAATAGAAGAGAATGTCCTATGAAAAACCTACAGGTTTTATCTTCCCTCCAAGATAAGGAGTAAGGCAATAATGTCCATCTTCGCCACTTCCATACAACACTGAACTGAAGGTCCTAGCCATTTCAGTAAGACAAGATAAAGAAATAAAAGGCATACAAACCTTTACAAAATAAAACTTTCACTTGCAAAAAAAAAAAAAAACCAAAAACCACAAACCAAAACAAAAAAAAACCCATGGTAACCTACATGGACAACCCCAAAGAATCTGCTACAAAGCCAGCAGAACTATCAAGGTCACAGGGGCAAGGTCAACATATAAAAATCAATTTTATTTCTATGTACTACCAATGAACAATAGGAAACTGAAATTTTTAAAAAGCGTCTTTTACAACTGCATACAAAAAAACATGAAATATTTAGGTGGAAATCTGTTTATAAAATTTGTATGTTAATAAGTATAAAATTTTGATGAAGAAATTAAGGACTTAAATAAATGGAGAAATACAACATTTTCATAAATTGGAAGAGTCAGTGTTGTTAAGATAGCAAGTGTCCCTGATTATCTATACATTCAGTGCCATCACAATAAAAAATTCCCAGCAGACTTTTTTTTTTGGGGGGAGGGGGGCGGGCAGAGAGGATTGAACTCTGGGCTCCACACTTGAAAAGCAGGCGCTACACTAGTTGAGCCACACACCTCCAAGTCCATTTTGCTGTGTTATTTTGGAGATGAGGTCTTGAAAACTATTTGCTCTGACTGGCCACAAACCTCGATCTTCCTGATCTCCAAAGTAGCTAGGATTACAGGTGTGAGCTACTGGCACCTGGCTCCCAGTAGACTTATAATTCTAAAATTTGTATGAATAAACAAAAGACCCAGAATATGTAAAAACATGGATGATTCTTACTGACTGACTTGCTATTAAATATACAATAACCAAGATGTGCCACTGGCAAAAACTAGGTCCATACATATGTGGTCAATGGGTTTTTTGGAAGTAACTTTATTGAGGTATATTTTGCATATAATTTACCCTTTTCAAGTGTACAATATAGTCCTTTCTTTCTTTCCCTCCCTCCCTCCCTCCTCCTCCTCCTCCCTCTCTCTCTCTCTCTCTCTCTCTCTCCTCTCCTCTTCTCTCTCTTCTATCTCTCTTCTCTCTCTTCTCTCTCTCTTCTCTCTCTCTCTCTCTCTCCCTCCCTCCCTCCCTCCCTCTCTCTCTCTCTCTCTCTCTCTCTCTCTCTCTGGTACAAGGTACAAGGTACAAGGGGTCAAACCCAAGGCCTCATGCATGCTTAGCAAACAAACACTCAACCACTGAAGCTGTATCTCCAATCTTTTTTTCTTTTCTTCTTTTTTTCTTTTTTTTTTTTGCAGTAATGGGGTTGAACTCAGGGCCTCAAACTTGTTAGGCAGGCATTCTACCACTTTGCCAGCCCAGTCTTTTCAATAAATGGTTCTAACTGAATACCCATACATAAAAGTGAATCTTAACTCATACCTTGCAACATATTAAAAAACCAACTTGATTTTGTATTTGAAATTTATATTTAATATCCAAAATATAGTTAGATCATAAACTTAAATATAAAAACCTAAGGCTCTAAAATGTAAATTAAAACCACTGTGGTCTAGTACTATAATCCTGTTAGAATGGTTTTTAAAAGAAAAACTGACACTACCAAATGCTAACACACATATACAGTGCTAGAAGAAATGTGAAATGGTCCAACCACTTTGGAAAATGGTTTTGAAGTTTCTTATAAAGATGTATTTACCATAGGGCCTTACTATCCCACTCCTAAGTATTCACCAAAGAGAAGTAAAAATCTTTGTCTGCACATATATAAATATTTATAGTGGCTTTAATTTTACTAGCCCAAAACTGAAGACAGCCCAACATTCTTTGATTTTTAAAATGTTATACATCTCATTTGTGAATGTTACTCAGCAATAAAAACAAACTACTAATACATGCAACAAGATAAATAAATCTCAAATATTTATTAAAACAGAAGTGGAACATACACATGCTCCCTGTCTTTTGCCAGCAGGATGGCCATCACCAGATCTTAGACCACAGATATTTAACCCCTTGACCTTCGACCAGAGCCATGAACCAAAATAAATCTCTTTCCTTTATACTTAAAAGCAAAACATAAAAAGGCAATTCTTTTTCTATAAAGGGCAATGTGATAATTATTTTTTAAGTTTTGTGGACCATAAGACCTCTGTCACAACTATTCAACTCTGCTACTGTATTACAAGAGCAATCACTGACGATATGTAAATATGAGTAAGTCTGCATTTTAACAAACTTTGCATAAAACAGGGAACAAATATGGCATGGCCTTTAGGCCATAATTTGACAACTCCTGTAATAAATCAAAGAAATCAGACACAAGATGATTCAAACACTCTGAAGATTCCACTTATATGATATTATGAAAAAAGCAAAAAGTATAGGCTCAGAAAACAAATCAGATTGTCAGGGCATGGAGGTAGTGAAGGAAGACTGACTACAAAGGATCACCAGGCAACTTTTTGGAGTGATGGAAATAGTTTAGATTTTGATTGTGGCAATTATATGACTATATGTTTCTCAAAATTCATACACTGTATACAAAATTCATACACAGGTTTAGTATCCCTAATATGATAATCTGAAATTCAGAATGCTCCAAAATCTGAAACTATTTTCAGTACAATATACTGCCACCAGTGGAAAATTCCACACTGTGAAACTGCCTCATGGCACAAAATTACTTAAAATATTAGATAAAATTATCTTCAGGCTATATATATAAGATACATATGAAATATAAATGAATTTTAGACTTGAGTCCCATTTCCAAGATATCTCACTATGTATACGCAATTATTTCAAAATCAAAAATATTTTGGTCCCAAGCATTTCAGACAAAGGATACTTAATCTGTACCTATTGTTCACCTAAGAAAGGTGAATTCTGCTCTATGTAAGTGATAACTCAATCATGTCTTAAAAAAAAAAAACCACACATACACACAAAAAATAAAAGCATTCTTTGGTCCCTAATTCAAATAAACCAAAAGAAAACATTTTTTGAGACAATCAAGTATCAAGGAAATTTAACACTGACTGCTTGGTGACATTAAAATGTTATTGTTTAGAGAGCTAGGGATATAGATCAGTGGTACAGTGCTTCCCTAGCATGCACAAGGATCTACATTTGAGCCCTGACACTACACACACACACTTTTATGTTGCTTTGTGGTACTGGACATATAGTGTTCATGTAGCTCATATAATTTAGCTGTGAAATGGTACTGTGGGTGTTTTTCTGTTTGTGTTTTTCTTGGTGGCACTGGGGTTTGAACTCAGGACTTCACACTCACTAGGCAGGTGCTCTACCACTTGAGCTGCCACCCCTTTTTAATGATGTGTTTTTTCAAGATAGGGTCTCATGAACTATCTGCCCAGAGCTGGCTTCGAACCACGATCCTCCTGATCTCTGCCTCCTGGGTAGCTAGGATTATAGGCGTGAGGTACCTATGCCCAGCTATTTATTTATTTTGAGACAGGGTCTCACTACGTAGCTAAGGCTGGTCTTGAACTCACGATCCTCCTGCCTCTACCTCCCCAATACTGGGATTATAGGCATGTACCACTATGCCCAGCTTATAGCTATTTTTTTAAAAAGGGAAAAAAAAAAAGAGCCCGTACTTTAGAGATACATATTGAAAGTACTTACAAATGAAATTATGTCTGAGATTATTGAGAAGCTAGGCATGGTGGTACACATATGTAATACCCATATCAACAGGCTGAGGCAGGCAGATGGCCAATTAAAGGCCAGCCAGGGCTACATAGTGAGATCATGTTGGGAGGGGTGGAGAGGGGTGGAAAGGAAGGAAGGAAGCTGGATAAATGGGGATTCATTATGATATTCTTGCTACTTTTACATGTTTGAACATTTCTATAACAGCCAAATTGGAGGGGTTTTATACGAAAAAAAAAAAGTGGATGAGGAAGAAATGAAAACCATAAAACAGATTTTGCACTTAATGCTGGAGGCCAGATAGGTGAAACAGTGAGATAAGCCAAAAGTAATAAATTTGGGACCAAAAGCATTCGTGACAAGTCTTTGAAAAAACGTGTAAGTTCTCTCTTGAGATCTTGAAACTCTGAAAGTACAATTATATATTTACATAGAAACGTACATATCTTTACGAATAACGCACATACAACATCAAAGAAGTTAAATGTAAAACAAGCTGTGTCCAAAAACCTAGAAAGTAATGAGATATAGTCTAATCATAGCAATCATAGCTAAAACACAACAACAAAAATACTGCACTATCTGGTTTGGTTTTATTTTTTCTTTTTAACATGGTATCTTGCTATGTTGCCCAGATTAGCTTCAAACTCCTGGACTCGAGCCATCTTCCCGCCTCAGCCTCCCAAGTACCTGGGACTAGATGCATAAGCCATTATGCCCAGCTGAAAATATTTTTTATAGAATACTATTTGAACTTTCTTAATCTTCTAACAGCTTGAGTAGAGATAGTATCTAAGAATAAAATCAGATATTAACTATACCCATCGTTTTCTTCATAATATTGTAGAATACGCCACCCTGCTGAAACATGTGAGGAAGTCCCTTGGCATAAGACCACACATCTTCTCCTGTAAGACAAAAACAAATACAGTATAAGCAACAAACAAGAGTGCCACTCAGGGTTGCTTTAACACAGGTTAGCATAGAACAGGGATTGCAAGGCAGAACTCCTAAATGAGCAAAGTAGTCAGGTATAACACAGATGATACAGAATGGCAGGACTAAGGCACACTAGAAAATGCAAGGACCATTTAAAGGTGATAGCCACTGCCAAGAATTGTTCTAAGAATACAGACTGTGTTTCATGACTATGTGGATTTTCAAAAAATGGGCAGCAGTCCAGATTTTTAAGAATGAATTTTTTTTCTTTTTTTTTTTGTGGTACTGGCTTTTGAACTCAGTCACATGCTTGCCTAGCTCTACCACTTGAGCCATTCCCACAGCTAATATAATGAGTCTCATATTACTTTTTTTCCCCTCCCTGTGGGACTGGAGTCTAAACTGAGGGCTTCACACTTGCAAAGCAGGCACTCTACCACTTGAGCCACACCTCCAGTCCTCAATTTTTAAATGTAGGAGCTAATTTGAAATATCTTTAAAACCACAAGAGCCAATACTGGGCATATTACAAAAAATATTTTTGAAGACTCAACCCAGCACAAGGGAAACTAGTTTGTAAACTCTGCACTAGAACAGGAAATATTATAGAAATATATTTGTTTTTTAAATATAAATATGTTTTTATATAAAACTGTATGCTTTATATTTATGTTAAAAAACAAGAATAGAAGGGACTAGAAAGAAAAATAAAAAGGCATTCTGAACATACTATTTTATTGTTCTAAAGTTAACTTTTTTAAGGGGAAAATGATTGAAAGACATTCAGAATAACCTTTAAAAGATCACAAAATATCCACAAACAATCTATTATTGCACAAAAAACATTTTTTCAAAAAGATTCTTTATAGTATCTATTTCAGTAAGAAGTTTCAAATTAAATATTGAGAACAATGGGTCTGGGAGTGTAGCTCAGTGACAGGGCACGTGCTTAGCAACCACAAGGCTCTAAATTCAATCCCTAGCACCAAGAAAAAAAGTTGAGAATGATAATCACCCTTGAAGATATGAAAGAATGGAAGGAACATAAAAGTTACTTTTGTTTGTGGCATATGGTGTCCTTGTGCTGCTTTCATTATTTTCTAATTGGCTAATATATACATATATAGCCAATTTTTTATATATATGTATTATATATGTACAATATATAATATATAATATATATATTATATATTATATATATATATATATATATATATATACATATATATATATATATATATATACCAGTTTTATTACCAGGAATTTTTTTGTTAATTTTAACAAAGAAAAACTAATTTTTGTCTTTCCTATTAGAAAATCATACTATTGGACCTGAGCTTTGAAAGGCAATAATTGATTATACTAATTAATTGCTACATACCTGGTATCCCCTCACACATTCATAAAGAAGACTATGAATTTGTAGAGCAGTTGTTTATCATCAATTCAAAATATACAATTTTTAAGTCTTGGTATTTGATGCTCCAGTTAACCAGAACATTCAATTGCACATAAATGATTTATTGGGCTGGAGGCTTGGCTCAAGTGGTACAGCACCTGCCTTGCAAGCACAAAGCCCTGAGTTCAAACCCCAATACTAACAAAAGAAAAAAAGCAACATAGCACATATGAATAAAACGAAAATTAAAAAAAAAAGCAACATAAACAATTTATTTACTAATGATATGATACTATGAGTAGAATGGCTAATTTAAGGGTGGACACAAAAAAGTTTTTTAAAATTTTGAATATTAATAAGAGTCCCAAGTACAAAAATATTAACTGTTGGTAGAAGCTCTGATTGATGAACTTACTAAACTGTATTTGGATAAATTATTTCTATAGTAATAACTTTTCACTTAATTACTGTTAATGTTATCCTAAATGTATTTACCATTTTCTAAAATACTCTAGGATATCATTTGTTTGGAAGATATATCAAAATACATGGTATTTTTGGTAAGAATCTGAACATGTGCCAAAATGAACTCCTCAGAAGTGACCACATGTATACTAACAAGAAAAGTAGCACTTTTTAAAGTACTATATATACTTGGCTATTCCTTATTTAAGCAGGCAGACCACTTTCCTCTCCTGTAGAGTTTCTCAACCTTGTTTTCATTATCTTTCCATAAACAGCCTTTTAAAACATTATTTTCCTAATCAGTCCTACTCCCCATGACATTTGATATACTGTACATCTGTTTATGTAGTATATGTGTATCTTCTAGTTTTATATATTAAATACAGCAAGTTTTTTTTTACCCTTTCTCCCCCAAGAACCAAATTTTACCCACCAGAGCAATGTGATCTTATTAAGTGAATAAATACCATCTCAGCCTCTTATCATCTACCCATCTCTAAGAAGGTACTTTATACAGCTTAGTTTACTCATTACAGCTAGTATCTACTTTACTGACAAGGAAACAAGCTCAGACTGCTCAAATAACTCTCCCAAGATCATACACCTAGTTAAGTAACAGAAACAGGATTTGAATCCCGAGTATCATTCCCAAGCTTACTGATATAAAATTCAAGGTCAGATTGTGTTAAAACAAATGTGATGGCACAATTCAGTCCCTCTTTTTTTTTTTTTTTGTGGTACTGGGGTTTGAACTCAGAGCCTTGCACTTGCTAGTCAGGTGCTCTACCACTTAAGCCACACACCCCCATAGACTTTTCTTGTATTTATGGCATTACAAATGGCTAGAAAAAAAAAAATGTCAGTTATCTTCCTTGGTACACAAATACTTTCAAGGAAGTTATGCTTTTTGGTAACAGAAATAAGAAAAAGGACTAGAGATCAGGACACTTTATATAAGTCCACTATAGACTCATATAGACTATAGACTCCATTTTCCTCTCTCCTCCCTCCTACTACTACTGCCCTGGTCCAGGCCTTGTCCTCCTGCTTAGATAACTACCCCTAACTCAAAACTGGCTTTCCTTTTGACTCTTGTCCTACCTGAATCCTTCCTTCATACAGCCTTCAGAGTTAAACTTCTAGTGGTTCTGGCAAAACCATATGGCCATAGTCCAAGTTCCTTTTTCATGGCATATGAGTTGGCTTGCTCTCCCATTTCACACCATAACTGGCTTTGATTTTTACAAAACACCACCACCACACTGCTCTAGTTCCCTTAAAGGCCAAAAGTGTTATGTATTCTTTAAAATTAAATTTAGGTGTCAACTCCTTAAAGGCCAATAATTGTTATGTATTTTTTAAACTCAATTTAGGTGTCAAGTCCTCCAGGATTCTTTTGAATGGTGGTTAGGTAGGTATCCTTCTTTGACGTTTGTATGTACACCTACACCACAGCCCCTATTGTACTTCAGGCTAATTCAGTTTACTTTTTCTCTTTCTCCTTCTAAACTGAAAGAGTTACAGATTCAGGGAAAGGTCAGTGGCCTACCAGACTTTCTATTCCTAGGACCTGGCACAGTGCTGAACAAACAATAGCACTCTTTGTATTGGCTGAATGGATGTATAACATGAATATTACAAATGACGTTTTTCCTTTTAAACAATGCCTGAAAGCAATCCAGAAAAACCTTAACTGAAGCAGCATGTTAATGGTTCCTCAATGTTAAATCTCCAATATGTAATTAATATTGTCTAATGTTTTCTCTTTGAATAATAAACCAAAATCATAGCAAAAACAAGAGACAATGATTTTTTTCTACCAATTTATTAGAGAACAAACTCTTTGTTTACTTCTGGTAATGGGGATCAAACCCAGGGCTTTACCCACAACAGGCAAGTACTCTATCACTGAGCTATATCTCCAGTCCTAGAAACCAAAATCTTAGAGAACAGGAATGGTGTGGTGAAGTCTCTAGCAAATATTATGTTAATTCATATTTTTCTGTAAGTCTCCCATTAGTTTTACTTTAATTCAATTGTTTCTTCATAGTACGATAGTAAACCACTTTTATTCAATGTATTGTGTGTATATAAGCATAGGAAAAAAGTCTATTCCCACTATAAATAATCTCTAGTCACACTTTGTCTTCCACCTATAGCCTCCTACAGCCTTCAGTTCTTCTACCGGAAAAATGGTTATAAATAGCAGTGGTATTATGGATGTTTTTTATTCATTTATCTATTTTTTCTATTTGGTAAGAATTTATTAAAGAATTATATTAAAATGAAGTTTTAAAAATACACTTTTCTACTTTTTCTAACAATAAAGTCAGATTAAAATGAGTTTAAAAGGTCATGACTAGCCAGGCATCAGTGGCTCATGCCTATAATCTTAGCTACAGAGGAGGCAGAGATCAGGAGGACTGTAGTTCAAAGCCAGCCCAGGTAAATAGTTTGTGAGACCCTATCTCAAAAAAACCCTTCACAAAAAAGGGCTGGTAGAGTGGCTTGAGGTGTAGACCTTGAGTTCAAGCCCCAATACCACAAAAAAAAAAAAATTAAAAAGGCCATTATTCCAATTTTCTAATTTTAATTATATAGAAAGGTGATTTGGGGGAAGAGATTAGGGTAGGAGGGATAGTAAGAAGATGGCTAATGAACATGGTGGGGGCAGCAGTAGGATAGCAGGACAGCAGCACAGCTGGGTAACAATGGTTGACAACAATTAACTGTACATTTCAAAACAGCTAGTAGAGAGGATTTTGAATATTTCCAACACAGGAAATAATACATGTCTGAGGTGGATGGGTAGGCTAATAATCCTAACCTGATCATTACATAAGTTACGTGTTGGGTAATGTGTATTGAGATATCATATTGTACCCCTAAATATAGAAGATTACCATGTGTCAATTAAAAATGTATTAATAAACCAGGCATGGTGGTACACGCTTGCAATCCCAGCTACTTGGGAGGTAGAGGCAAAAGGATCTCAAGTTTTGAGACCAGCCCAAAGAAAGTTAGCAAGACCCTATTAAAAAAACGAAATACAAACTAAAAGGCTGGAGGTATGGCTTGAGTGTTAGACTGCTGCCTTAGAAGTGC